TGTTTTTAAAATACATTTTCCACAGATTTTTTGTTACATCTAGCACAGACTCTCTTATTTCTATTTCTGTTGCATGATACTTGAACTTCGAGTCTTTGCAAAGGTAAATATGCAAAAATTATAAATATTGCGTGTAATGTACGTAACTATTCGAAATATCAAAAGCTGTATGCATACTTCAATCTTTGAATGATAAAACAAATGTAAAACAACGTATTTTAAACTGATATGATAAATATTTTATTTTTTATAAAAATCTGCAGTCCAAACATAATTTATTTAATAATTTAGTACAATCTTCTAATTAAACATATGCGACTATACTACCCTCACGTGTACAGGCGCACAAGTGATAATATTACTAGTACATTTATCTAACACAAGTTATCGGGACATTTTTCCTTCTGCATGAAAAAGCTCTAGGGAGTCATTTTTCCGTAAAGTCCGTGTCTTTCGTTATCGACGTACATCCTGAGACGAGAACGATTTGTGGATGCTCCGCTGCATTTACGCGAATACGCTCGAAAGAGGACTAAACGGTTCCTGAAAAGATAAAACAGATATGTGGAGACCCTTTATTATATCCCACGAATTTACAGAATTTTATAGATAAACCTCGCAGCCTGGACATTTGCGCGAGAAATAAAGACTTCCACTCGGAAAGACTGCAAAAAGAAAGCGCAGTAGCGAGGAAATCCGTTTCCGCGAATTCCCTTTGATCTTATCGGCTTGGACGATTTTCTAAATTATTGGATTTGGTGGGAGAAGAAGAAATTCTAACGCGGATGGAATTCCAATACAATTTGCCGCTCGGTAGTTGTTCAGGCTTTACAATGTACATATCCTATTTTGATCATAGTATTATATCGAGAGTTATCTTGTTGAACTAGTGTATATACGTAGATTATTATTAGACTGATGTTTATAAAACATTTATGATATTTGAAAAATGATGAAAATTGAATAGAATTTACAGTCAGCTTCTGATATTCTGTATATTTTTAAACATTACATGCATGTTTTATACTTTCTATAAATTCGTTCCTTTTTATACATTGTTTTTCTTATAAATACATAAAATCCACGGTTCAATAATTATGAAGAGAATTCAATAGTAAAATAAACAGAAGTAAAAATTCTCTTAAATATGGTAATAAATACATGAATTATCAATTCAATGAGAACATACCTATTCACTGTATCATTATAAATGCATAGAATTATTAATCGAGTTGTTCATTTCAAATAGCAGTTCTTATCGACTCACTTTCTACTGAATGTGGTCGTACATTATATGAACGTACAATTATTTGATACTCAATGATCGGACTATATGTACATATGTATAATAACGTTCCAACTTCTAAGTTTTTAATGTAGCAATATTGTAAGAGGTTCGCTTTAAGAAGTAAGAGCAGTAGTATTCCAATATGTCTAGTGTAGAATAAAAAGTCTCGTCTGGCGTATAACGTGGACATTAAATTACCGTGAAAGCGTTTTGGTCGGTAGTCTTAAGAGCAGCAGGAGAAATAGGTCGCAACGTTTTACGTAACCCGCAGTGGGAGCTTATGTAGAGCGGTTAGAAAGCTACGGTTGCTAAAAAATTTAAAAATGTGTTCTTCGGTAAACCCATTTTGCATGCCGCAGATAAAGAATTGCTCATGTATATCACAGTCCGGTAAGCATCTCTTATTTAGGAATAGCAATAAATTCCTTGGTATGACACTGCTCGATAACACCGCTCTTTCTCAGTGCAAGCTGGATACTGTTGTCGGTAAATTAAATAATAAGTAAAAGTGAATGGAATATGGAATTGATATGCAGTGAATAAAAAAATGATTAGCACACTTATTAAAAGAGAATAACCTTTTTATTATTGACTCGTACGATTTGAGGCTTTTTTAGAAGTTAAAGAGATTATTTTATTAGATGATGCATAAAAACAATGTCAATAAACTGATTCTTAGAAAAGACAATTAATAATGTATTCAACTTGAATTATATAACATGATTGAAATGTTTTTACTAAACTGTATCTTATATCGTCGTATCCACAGGTGACGACTTTCAGCATCGAGGAACTGGGCGTTCGTTCTGCGGGAGACAGTGACCAGAAGTAAGGATGGCCTTTCACTGGGATAAGCTCTCACCGGCGGAATTTCAACAACTCCAGGACTTAGCAGCTTGTAAGTAAAAAGCGAAACAGTCGGCTGTTGCCAACCTTACACCAGTCAAAGTCTCTCTTCCGCTCTATCAACTCGAGACCGGGTAAAAAGCTAAAGAGCCGTCGGGCCTTCGCCGATGCGACATGTATTTTTAAAGAAAACAGGAAATGTTACTGTTCGATCATTGGAATTGAAAGGGCACGCGACAAATGTTTGTTTCGACTTGGAAACTCACTTTCTTGACAGTCAGTTTTGATTAGTATTTTTGTTAAGGAGATCACATTAACAATAAAATCATTAGTGACCAACCAAAGAGAAACTACAATAAATAATATGTATTGTAATATAAATGAATGTATAGAAGATATAAACGCTGCATGTGATGCGTAATATGTACAAAATAGAGTGAGTGCTAATTGGACAGCTTCAAAGAAACTTCTATCTAAAAAGCAATTTTTGAAGCTACTGTTATGAATATTTTATTGTACATCAAAATTCGCAATTTAATGATAATTTATCAAAATCTCAGCCGTCATTAATTAAACGCATACTAATGAGCGCTACTTAATTACTCTGGCTAAATTTACAATCGCTATTCTCATTAATGTTAATTTGAATAATAAAGCGTTTATATCAAAGACTAAGAAAGAAGGATGGCAATTAGCTAATTTATGTTGATGAATATGCATTGTTCTTGAAGTTAGAATTTTCCGAACGAATATTATGTTTTGTCTTATTATTATTATGAATTAAACTTTATAGTTCGTAGTAAAACAACGCAATTTCATTAGGAGATATTGAAATACATATCATTAACTAGTATTTTAATCATTTTATACAGTCGGTCTATATTTTAAATATTTATATTAAAATTGTTACAAAACTTGATGAAAACAAGTTAGACAATCATAAAATAAATCAAACAGTTCATGACACGATTGAGTCTTGTTAATCTCCTTTCAGCAAACGGAAAAATCAAAATCAGAGTCTGTTATCCTATAAAATAGTCAATGCATTACACAATTGTTACAA